AAAGTACTTTTGGTAAATATAACTCGCTTACCTGCAAAGATTCGGTGAGCAATTCCTCTTTTCCTTCACGTCCACCCTCACCTTCGAAACGACATGCTGTCTGCATTGTTTACATCTCGTATCTGAGTCGAGAAGCCGCGTTATTTCAAACTGTGTCAAGATGGCTGACGCCCGGGGTTCGAAAGTGGACGGTGAATATGATTCTTTTTTTCGATATTGATTAAGGCCATTTACCTGCCATTTTATGCTTTACCCATAGCAATTGTTCTCAGATAAGTTAAAAAAGAAGCAATCCATGCACTAAAAAGGCGTTTTTAATCCTATTTTTTTGTCCCTTTAAGTAGTGTTTTAAACATATAACTAGATCATATATGGCAATGATGTATGCCAACGAAAAAAATATGGTCAAATTTGAGACATTCTCATGAAAATGAACCAATATATTTCCTTTATTCGGAGATAAGTTAGTATACGATATGATATTTTAAAATCCTTTTTTTTTTTTTTTTTTTTTTTTGTTAATTTCATCTCTTTTACAAATATTTAATATGCTAATTAATTGTAAAGACTTGGTGACCTTTGGTGAGTCGTTTTAATTTTATGGACAATTTTACCTACGTGGAAATCATCGTGGAACATCAGAATCTTGAGAGTTGAGGGGGTGCTCGTTATAAATGTCACAAATGATATAAAATATGGAAATCTTTACCGGAAATTGTGCATTTTTTGTACCATGAGACATGTAAGATACAGTATCTGAAAAAAAAAAAACATTGTTCAGGATAGTTTTCAGATATGAGTGATCGTTTGTAAACAAAAACACGTGGGGATGAAGGTGGAACAACATTTGACCAAGACTGTATGACACATGATTATTGTAACATTTTATATTTTAGCTGGGCAACCTCAACATCATCCATAACAGTGTGAAGAAGGATCGACGGGTGAGGCAAGAACTCAGAAAGCACCTTGAAGGCCTTAATGAATACCTGACAAAGTTGCCTCCGAATAAAACTGACAACCTTAATAAAGAGTTGATGCCATCCACCGTGGACGAAGTTGTGCAGAACTTGCTTCGTGAAGCAGATTCACCGGCTAGCGCTATCCTTGTCGCCGGTAAGTGAAATAACTTTGTTATTACATGTCTTTTCAGAGAGGCATGGACAATATATTCCAACTGTAAATAGTATATATTGCTTATTTAAGGGAAATCTTGATTTGATTGCATATGTTCATGTATATTGTTTATGCCAGTAAAAGAAAACAACCATGACTCAGCTTTCGCTATTACAAGTATTATCATTTTTGTAAATTTTAAAATCAATATAAAACACTATTATATAAAAAGGGCTCACGTGCTGCATACTGCACTTGGACATGGTAACACTCAAATCGATATGTGGTACATTTCCGGAATCAAAGTTAATGTAGTTATTGAAGATATGTGGTACATTTCCGGAATCAAAGTTAATGTAGTTATTGAAGATATGTGGTACATTACCGGAATCAAAGTTAATGTAGTTATTGAAGATTTGTGGAGTTTTGGTTGCATTGTGATGTATCCTAGGTATAAGTAAAGTTAACAAATAGCAATAAGACTGCAACATGGTTCCAATATAGTTGTTTTGTCTCCACTAGTGGGGTTAACCAGCTCCGAAATTCTGCCGCTAGATGGCGTGGAAGCACTTTCAGTACTACTAAAATCTCGCGTTTCACACCATAGTTTTACAGGTATTGTTAACATGCGACACTGCTGTATATATACTCACTTTAAGGCAAATTATTCAAATGTGGTCCCCGTGACAACGAGAAAAAAAGGCGAATTGAATAATATACAGTGTCGTCACTATATATATTTACCAACAATGGAAATAAAATCGTTATACATAGCTGACTTAGTTTCTGTTCACATATCTCAAATGGTGACATTGACGATTTCACGTACCTTTTTCACATGAATCCATTTCAACATTGAAATTCAGTCGTTGTTTTTTTTTTCTGAAAAGTTTATTTGAGTAATTATATCTTAAGAAGTTATTTCAGCATGACATGTAGCCATCTATCGAGGTCACGTGGTTTGATGGCAAGCACAGATTCCAGAATAATTACGAAAAAGACCGTTTGGTTGTAAGATAGAATTTATTTTATTGCTGCGAGTTAATTTTTGTTTACAGTGTATTTCTTGTGAAATATGGATCTCATCCGAAGAATTTTTATCCCTTTAATTTTCCGACAACAAGACAGACTAAATCTATAATGAAAATGACACTAAAATTTTAAAAAATTAGTTAAAATATTGTAAAAATTATTTTTATGAGAATAGTAAAACGTAAATTCAATTAATTTTTTTCAAAATCAGTAAAAACGCACTTTTTTGTTTACGTAGAAAATGAGCGATTTTCTGTGCATTCATTTTAATAAATGACAAAGGCTATGTGCTTTACTGCAAGGACTAAAAGCTTTTGACATTTTGTGTAAATTCAGAGAAATATAAAAAGTCACATTAATATATTCCTTCCTACTTTCCTTTTACCTTGAGAAAATATAAGTTCATGTGTCAGAAACCTTAGCACACAAAATAAACCGGGTGAGATATTATCTTGGCTGTCTAGGGATGAAAACATAGATACGTGACCCCTACGATCTTTTATCATTAAACCAGGGTACCAAGGGTGTTTTATCTTTGTGCACACACGGTTGGTGGCAATCCTTTATTGAAGACGAAGTCCTGAATTCTAGTGAAACTGATTCCCACCTTGTCGATTTTAACATCCAGTTATGCAGCAAATATTTTGGCATGTTAAAGGGGATTCGGCACATTAACAAAATGTTTTGCACGTTGCATATTCTTCAGAAAACGTGGTCAAATAACGATGTACATATCGATATATACAAACTCTTAAGTAAGTATCGGACTTTAAAATGAATTTCGCTAGATCTGGTTCGTAATGCTATGATATCAAACTAAGGTGTCATATCTGTCAGATGAGTTTCCAAACTATCGATAACAACCCATGACCATTCCCTTTGTTAACCTGGTTAAAATTCCTCGTGACGCTAAGTGAAACCATTTTCCTCTCTGTTTAATTCTTTAACTAGCAATTAAATACGACTAACCATACTAGTATGCAGCCGGGTAACTTAAATGTCATCATTTCCTGCAGACGAGGAGGAAAATTCGTGTCCTGAAAATAAAGGATGGTAATGGAATGTAGCTTTGTTGACAGTTGTGTGACGCTCGAAAATACTGTAGCGATTGGGGGGGGGGGGGGGGGGGGGG